ACGTTTTCCGGTCACCATATTGTTCAGCTTACGCAGAGTGAACTTGAGCTTGACGCCATCAGTATCATGGTTAAATTGATACGGTTCTACACATTCTGTGCTGTATGCGACCCGAAGAAAAATAATCAATAAGTAACTAAGTAGCTTTGTAGTGTGAGCAATGGTCTACCAGTGATATTGAGTGACGTATAAATCACTCTATAAAGTAGTCAGAGACGGTGCGAAAAGGTGAAAGTAGGAGAATATCCTCTGGTCTCACCGTCTCTGCCAGCAGTTACATCGTGAATATGATATGAAATAGTGATATAGGTATTCGCTTACCTTTAAATATCTATCGATAGACAAAAGAAAGAAGCCTCTAGAATATATTCCTCTCCCTCTCTCTCTCTTTCTCTGTCTTGATGAAGGTCGATCGATTATAACTATCGTGTGCTTGCATTAAAATGGGACCTTGATACACCACAGAGATAAAAAATAAAGGGTAAAAAGAACGAGTCTGTTTTATTATACAGACTTTTGTTCTCTACATGAAGAGAGATGCAGAATTATATTGTTTTTTTTTTCGCATGGCTTTTAACTTGTCATTGAATTATACCGCAGTCTTTATCTATTCATAGTAATGATAGAAAGTCGTGGCTCACTTCTACATAGGCAAAGCCATTAATCTCTTTTGCATACGTATATGCATCGAGCAAAAAAAACGTCCATGAAAAAAAGGCCGATGCAATATTCTACCGATGTATGACGAGAGCAATAAGAGAAAAAAAAAAATTTCTTCCTCATGCGTGATATTGTGTGTGCAACTAGATGTGCCTGTGTTGAAAGCAACTTTAATGTCGATTTTTTTCGATATCCTTCTTTTTTTTGTTTTGTGAATAATCCAAAAATGCAACTTTGATTTTCGAAACACGAACAAACAAGCGATAGATAGTATTGAACAACAATATAGTAGTATGATATGAAAGAGTGATATCATTTTTTCTAATTTAACCAAATAAACAATAGACTAATAGCTCTAATGCAGAGCAAGATAAATTAACATTCTTCTGTATCCAATCTACGTATGATTGAACTGGTTCGACTGGTACAATTTCGTCGATTTCTTTCTTCATGTGCATGGCGAGTTTATTCATTGGAAAAATTCAAATCAAGCGCAACGTTGCAGATATGAATAGTATAATCTGATACTAGCTTAATCTAAAAATTTCAGACAGAGACCGAGCATTTTCAACTGAACAGCAAATGACGCTTGTACATAATGCACAGAGTGGAAGTATTGTTAGGAACGAATGCATAGTTTAGCAAACATATATCAACATTTAGTATATTCGAGATAATTTCGAAGCATATGCACTAGTGAACTCGGAAGCAATATTGTTTGTTATTGTCATCTTTTGAAAATTTTTATTAATTAAGAAATTGATCTGTTTTAATTATTTATCTATTTGAATGATTTATTATAATAAGAAAATATAAGAAAAAAAAAATTATTATTTGAGATTAAATAATACAATAAACTATGATTACGATTGATTTCAATGAAAAATACCTTCGATTGATTTACGAAATGCTGAAAATCCGTGCGATGCTTTATTTTCCGATTTTTTGCTTTTATCAACAGCACCTTGAGCAAATTCACGAGTTTTTTCGGTTACTGCGTCTGTCGCATTTTTCATACCATCTGAAGCTACAATAATAATGTAAATATTGGTATGATATGAAAAAATATAATTTTATAAGAATCATTTGAATCAAGATTTGACTTGTTTCGTTTTTATATAGTATGTGTGTGAAATGATTTATCTGTACAATATCTTTTACTTTTCTCAGCCGCCTGTTTTTTAAATTTCATTTCAAGTTTCATTAGTAGCGTTTTTTTTTCTGATTTAATTGTATCTTTAGCTTCTAAATAATTATCAGTCAATTGGATTATACTGTTATAACAATTTTTTATTTCTTCTATTAGTTCATTAAAAATAAAACAACGAATTCTTAACATCAATCACAAATTTTCCCGCATTTTCAGTCGTGTCTTTAGCTTTATTGGCAGCATCATTGGGTGTTTTTGAATACTAAACAAAGAATAGACACATTTTAATTATATATTGATCTCTATTTTAGAGTTTGTAAATAAAAAAAGACAACAACAAATGACTTTTCTCTTATTGAATAACGCTATTCAGAAGATGTATCTCTACATAGCTAGTTATATATTTAAGATTTTTTCTTCTAAAGAATTCTACTTACTTTTGCCAACATTATCTTTGACATTTTGATTAGCATTATTGAGTTTATCCTTGGCTACATTGACTTTATCAGTAACAACATCTTTGGTTTGATTCACTTTGTCTTTAATGTCTTCACCAGCTAAAAAAAAATCATAGATTTAAGTCACAAATTTGCAATAAATCTACATTACAATCGTCAGAAAATTTATCGTTTTTTAATATTCTGAAAATTTTCAAATGAGAAATACTCGCTATTTTGAAAAAATCAACCGTAAATGGATGTATAAATCATCAAGAAGAGAATGATTCTCGAGCAATAAATTACTTAAATACATCTAAACATAGATTTACTTACTTTTATCAACAGCTTCCTTTGCTAGTCTCGTCGTATTTTTTCCTGCATTATTAATTTCATTCGCACCTTTCGTAAATATAAAAAAAAACAACATTTCTAAATCAATTCTGCTTTCATATTATATATATACCTGTTTGTAAAGCCTTGCTGACTTCTTTTTTTCCTTCTTTGATTGAGTCAACAGCTGAAAATAAGAAAAATGCAAATTTTATTTCAATTTATATTTTAATATTCATACTATTTTCTTTAACTGATTGTAAACTTTGTTCTGCGTCGTGTTGACCTTTTTGTATTTGTTGTTTTATCTTATTCTCAGTTTGTTTTATATTTTTCCCAACTAGAATATTAAACCATCTATAAACTTAATTAATTTCCTATTACATACTTTTATCAGCTCCAGATGTTCCCATTGCTGCTACCTAAAATTTATGTAATATAAGATAATAATATCAAAATTTTAGTTTCATAAACCTACATCATTTATACCACGATTAATATTGTTTTCCTTGAATAGAAGAAAATATTATTCAATATAAAGTTGAAAGAAAAAACAATTCTATTTACCAAATCACCAATATTTTTATGTTGTGGTGTTGTTTGTGAATTTCTTTGTCGTTTTGGAGGCATACTAATTAAAATGTTATAATTACATAATCTATCAACATATTTTATCAGTTTACTTTGTTTTAATATATTGATTTCCTTTTTCGAATATCGTATAAAAATTCGAACAAACACAAACACAAATGAAAACTTATAAAAATAAAAAAAGAAATTTCAATGTTGTCAAGTGATAAATAGAAACAAGAAAAGAAAATAGCGGTAAGTAACATAATTGAAAATCTGATTAATTATTATCTCATAGACTTTGATGAGAATATTCTCGAATATGTAAATGAGTTCTATAGTTTATATTCATGTGCTTCTTATTGACTAGCACTAGAAGCTCGATATGAAATATTTTTCATTTATAGACAAAATTTTCGATAATTTTTTCTTTTCTCAACGATATTTACACTGATATACAAAAGACTATTCTTTATTTTCTTGAATATCATTCGAATTCGGTTATATTTGAATACGATCATATTGTTAACTATTGTAAATAACTTAGAACTAAACTATCCATATAATGCTACTAGTTTCAAATCAAATTTTTTTGTCTTTGTTTAATCGTATGCTTGTTGAACAACTTGCTATAATGAAAAACCATTATCTGTCAACCATCCGATAATATTTTTAAGATCTTTCAATTTCTTGTTTTTTTTTTAATTATATTTCTGGATGATTTATAGAATTATGATTTTGTTGTTGTGAAGTTCTTGAATCTTTTCTTTATACTATGAGAAATATTAGATCAATGAAATATTTAAACAATGATAAAGGTCATCCGTTATGCATATGATTCGGCTTGTTGATACTAAATTTTTTTTTAAGTATGAAAAGAGTAAATACAAGTTTTAGAATAAATCTTAATTTGAACTTGTTTAAGCAAAATAAAAACATTATAATAGTATTTTAGTTAAAAGCCATGGAAACTTATTTAATCGAAGAATTATTTTAGTTTTCTTTTGTTTTTAATTACTATGCCACGTCTTGGGTAAGAGACGAATACCTTTGTTGTTGTTTTGTTTTTACTTTATTGATCTTTCTCTAGATGCGATACTCGTATACAAAAACCATCAATAGATATTGCTGATCGAGTATTTGATCTACGAAATCGTGTTGCATGGCTCAGTGAATATTCCGATATTTATTTTCAGACGATCTATAGTCATTTGTATTTAAAGAAAATGTCGAATATTGTTTATTGGGTGATCAAACAGATCGATTGACTAATACTAAAACTGAACGATATAATACAGAATTATTCAATAATGATTTAAGAAAAAAATTAATTATTCCTTCAGAAAAGGTTTTTATTTTATTTTGATTGAAATTCTATTTTTAATATTTATGATAAGATAATCATCAATCAATTTGAAAAAAATATGACGATTGTTGTAAGGTTCGAAATATTTATTCATATAATATAATCTAAATAAAATCTAATAGGAAGGAATGGATAGCATACACAATAAACGAAATCGAGCAATGCAGCAACATAACGAACTTTTATTTATTCAAAAATATTTAGTTAATCGTCTTGAATCTTTACATGATCAATCACGTTATGAGGAAAATGATAATAAATTACTCTCAATACCCATCAAACAGATTCAAGTAACATACATAGACTATATAGACATTTGTTTTTGTGAGATAGATTATTAATTTTTTAGGATACTAAAATTGTTACAAGTCGTATTCGTGAAAAGCAAGATCGACTAAAAAGTGTAAAATTAATTAATAAAACATTAAATCTTTGTAAACAATATTTACAATGTGTAATTTTTATATTCAAAGATAATATCTATCTATCTATCTATCTATATTATTTAATATTAGGATTTAGATTTACTTCGAAAAGAATTACCAAATGTACACAAAGATATTGGACACAAATTTCATCAAAGAATGCTTCTTAAAAAAGAATTTACAGATATTGTTGCTGAAAATAAACGACGTTTAGTAGGATTCATTTTTATATATTAATCGTCTCAATAACCATCCTTTCGTTTTTCCTTTTTTATAAATTAGAACGTTTATCAACAGTTATTAGATCATACTGAAGCTCAAGTCAACTTTTTTTGAAAAACAATTAAATTTTAATTATTGTATTTTATAGAGCCGACAACGACGTGCTATACATGAACAAGCGATGGTTTCCGTCAGTGAACAATTAGAAGATCAATATCAAGTACAGATGATGGGTAACACTAGTAACAATAGGTTTCAGGAGTATGAAAATTCATGTTTATGTGTATCTCTAACGATGCATGACTAGAGATGTACGGGACCAAGTTTTTTTAGTCCCGGTCCTGATAACTGTTTTGTTCACTCTTCCCGGTCATACACGGGGACCCGATGATTTTAGTTTTTTTGGGTTCCGATCAAGAGAAAACTATTTCAAAATTTATTCGTATCATATCTAAAATAATTCTTCAATATTCTTTTGTTTTATTTAGTCAACAAGTAGCATTATTTTGGATCATCTCTCTTGAATTATGCTCTGATTTGTAAGATAATTTACTTTAGCACTTTCTCTTTCGCCGTAGTCCCAGTTCCGTACATCATCTAGATATGACTGATTAGACCATGACAATTATTTATAATTTCCAGTATTTTGATTGAAAACATTTTTTTTTTGAATTATATTTTCGAAAGTGAAATGTTTTTGTTTTTATTGTCTGTAGCTGTAAATGAAATGACAACTTCATTTGAATCATCACGAAAATTTAATGGTGATACTGATCCAATAAAAAATTTACAACAAAAAAAATTAACTATAATGAATAATGATGAAATTGTTCAAGTTCGTTGTATGTATGATCAATTTTATAATATAATTATGGCTGGATTTCCAATTGATATTTCTGTAAGATTATATTTTTTATGAAACAAAAATGTTTTTAAAATTTTATTTATAAATAAAGAATGCAGAACAATTAAAAACAGTTACCAATGACGTATCTACTAAAATTATTGCTAGTATGAATTTATAAAAGATAATTAAATTAAAAGTAATAATAATTTGAATTTTAGTGTTAACAATGACAAATCGAATGATGGAAGAAAAAGAACAACTTAATCAACAAATAAATCGAATGGATAAACTTTTAAAATTAATAGAAATGTCTATGAATCTTAAAAATGATACGTAAGTTAATTTTAATAAATATACGATATAATGAATTTTCCTTTTTTTTTTTTTATAGTCGTCATAAAATTTTAAATACAATGATTGAACAACGACAAAATTTAGAATTATTCTATATAAATGATACAGTTGAAGAACAAAATCGTATTTTACGTCAAATTAATGATTTTATTTTAGTCTTATTTAAAGCTCTTTGTGAACATATTGGTACACAGGTACATTTGTTTTTTAAGAAACGATAAAATCTATTTATCGAAATTTCATTTAGTTTACTATCGAACCATCAATTGATTTTATTGAACGTCTTCAATATGTATTTGATTTAGTAATAAAAACTATCAAAACTATTACTATGGAATCAATTGATGAAAATGTAATTTGTTTTTTTTTTAACTCGATATACCTTTATAATTATTTTTATTTTAATCAGGATCATCAAATATCTCCTATTATTCGACATAATGACGGTGAAGAAAATACTCAACAAAATTCTGGTAAGGATTTATAACATTAAAATTTTCTAATTCAAACTTTTCTTTTATGCTATTCTAGAAAATTTAAAAGAATCACGTTCATTTGATCGATCAATAACATCAAGTATAACATCATTATCGTCACGTATAAAACGAAATTCAATAAAAGAAAATATTTATTGAAAAAGACCTTTAGCCTTTCCAGCAACAACTTGATTTTCATTCATTAACATTTGTTGTTCTTGAAAACGTTGTGAAATACGTTGTGTTACTTTAAGAAATTTTTCCAAACAATTATTAACACATGAAATCTATTGAAATTTAAATTAAAAAACAAAAAATAAAAATTTATATACGATATAAATTTTCATAATATTATACTTCAGATGTTGTTGTTGTTCGACCTGTAAAATCATTGACACAATCATTGAAACAAACTTCAGCAATACGATTATATTCACGTAGAAATTCTCGTAACTAAATTTAAAAAAAAAAATAAACAGTTCGAAGAAAAGATTGAACTTTTTTTCTTTCAAATTACAGTAGGTAGTTGATCTTCAAAACTAGGACCTTCAGATGCAACCGGTGCAGCTTGTTTTTTATCAGATGATCGTCCCCAAAGCATATTATTAGAAATAATAATTTTAACGTTAAATAAAGAATTTGTATCTGAATAATATCAACAGAATATGAAAATGTCTATGTTTTACCTCATCTAAGTAACAATACATTTGAGTAACAAGTTTCAATAGATGGCATTAGTTGTTTGTTCAAGATTTTCATTAATGATTTGAGAGAGGGGTCGTTAGAATTCAGTTTGTTCGAATAAAATACATCGTATGAAATGCATATTGAATAAAAATTAGGAGTCATTGCTTTGAAAATAATTATTATCATCGATAAGCCATCAGAGGACTATTGATAGGACAATTGCCACATCTAAAAAAAATGATAGAGCATAGAATTTCCATGTATGAAATGAATTACTTAAGATTTCATCGACTTCATCAATCCATTACTGTGAATGTGACTAAAGTTTTTTTGTCGTTAAGTTTAGAATTCATTGCAAAAAAAATGATTTTTTAATATAAAGTCTTTGTCATATTATTCGACTCTTTTTTAACAGCCAGTTTTTTTTACGTACTTCATTCCAACAGTAGAAACAGATAAATTTCATTTTTCAGTATGAATGACTCATAGTCGTTATCTAGAGCTTCACAACGTTGAAAACATAGTTTTTTTTTTATATAATAACAAGATATTACAATCTATTGCCACACCTCAATATAAGACACTGATCTACATATGATTATTGTTAAACGATTTCTATGTGTATAAATCTTGTAACTTCTATAGATAACTTTCTTTTAAATAAAACATCAAAAATTGTTGCTACACTCTTCTTCTCTGATATGCAATGAATGATAATCTTATAATTGAAATTTTCAATTATATAGCAATTTCTAATACAGACAATTCAAGATGACATACCTATTTTTCATCAGATCTTCTGACATATTAGAATACAAACTTTTTCTTTAATAAGAAATCATGGTAAACATATTTTTTTTTTGATACAAAAGTACTAAAACATAGGAAAAAATTTCCATTCGATTGATTTTTTTTTGAAAAAAATCATCTATTATGATTGCAAAATTCATAACTTGAAAATCAGCACATACAGTGGCGCTCAAAATTAATCATACATCACATGCAAAAATGGCTAAATATTTTACTGCGCATTTCGTCTTTTTCAACAGGTCGACAAATATGAAAAATGACATAACAAAGGTTTCACTTACTTTTTCGGTCGAAACATTGTGAAAAAAAAGAAAAGTATTGTTCCGTCAAAAAGATAAAACCTGAATTTTTTTTAATCTTAATAGATTGTTAAATTTGTGTGTGTATAATGTATAATCGATTTTGAGTGAAATCAAAGCATATTATTTTTAATATTTCTAGTCTAGTAGAATAAATAGATGATATAGAGATATGTGATAAACTGTAAAAAACGAGACTAAAGTTTCAACTCAATTTCCTGAAACTATTTTGAAATATTAAAAAAAAACCAAAACAATTAATTAGATGTATGATCAATCTCAAACATAATTCTATAAATTGAAAAAAAAAAAATAATTATCTGCTATTCATATAGTAATTTTCTTCATAAATATATTTTATCTAATAAGATACACAATAATATAAAAGAAAAACTGAACTGTCAATACATAACATATATTTAAAGAATATTGCAAATATATATATATATATATATCTACATTGAACAATATACAAAAAAAGAAAAAACAAACAAATTTTACTGTTTTTTTGTTGTTTCACTAATATTTTCATCATTATTTATATTTTCATCATCATCATTGTCATTAATAAAAAATTTTGTTGGACATATATGTAAACGTTTTAATTGAGATGTATACTGTTCAAGATATGATGCAATACCAAATACAGCTAAACAAACTGGTTCATGATATTTTGTATCATAAATTAATGCTGTACATATTTGATTTTCTTTTAATGTCATTTCAAATAAATGATTTAATTCTCGTAATTGATTACCATTATTACATTCAAATAATTGTTTAAATTCACCATGATGATGCCAAGTTTTAAATGATAATAATTGTGAACGATGTGACATTATTTGATCATAAAGATCAAATGATGCTTGAGCTATATTTAATAAACAAGCTGAAAATGATAAATGTGGATGACCTGTATTTATTATAAATTGCATACAACGAGGATTAGCAGCATATGATGCTTCATCATCACTTGTATCAGGCTAGAAACGATTAAATATAAATTTATTATTATTTTTTTTTTTTTGTTTAATTTAACAAATACTTGTGAAACACCAGGTGATGATGGTGGTGATGGTTGAACTTGATCATTAAGTAAAAATGCAATAGCATCTTCTAAATTTTCAACTCGTTGTAATGCCTAGATAATTAAATGTTTTTTTTTTTTTGATATAATTAAAATTGGTTAACCATATTTGTTTTACTTCTCTCGATTGTTGTTCTGAAAAACCCATATCAATAAGAACAGCAAGATTGTCAGCTGTTGTATTCGATGCACTTGCATTCTGCATAATTAATTTATTTTTAGATAATATTAGTAAAAAAAAAATGAGAAATGAAATTCAATAGATAAAATTATTTCTAGTTATTCTCTCATATGGCTTTTTTTTTTGTATGATCATGAACATAACAATATAATGTGATTCATGAGATCTTTTATTGGTCTTTGAAAGAACATAAGAGATTATTGTTAACATGAGAAAGATGTCGTCGGTTTTCGATAATTGATATTGACTCAGTTGATCTTTTCTTTTACATTTATTATTTTAGTTACTAATATATTGACATATAAAAGTATTAACCGGAAGTGGTTTTCTTTTATTATATATTGTAAAGAGAAGACAAGACAAAGAATAGAAAAGTTGATATTACTCATGAAATAAGGATATTTTGTATGATAATGACATTATTCTGTTGATGCTTGTTAGTGACTGAAAGAAATAAAATTGCATAACTGTTCTATAGGCAAAATAGTAGATTATCATCTTCTACATGTCATATAGTAATCTAAAGCAAATTATTAATTCTTGTAATTTTTAATTACCTCCCTCCCTACATGATAGAAGCCCATTTCTGGCATGGTCTTTGTTTCATAAGCTATAAGTTTGGAAGAAAAGTTGTGTGTTGAGATCAGTTTTTTCGTTAATTAATAGAAATATACATATTATTGCATTTTTAATTGATTCGTATTCATTTTGTACACAGTGAACCTGTATTTTCTCCGAAAAATTCTAATCTCGAGGCGCGATGGGGGTATATTCAAAACGTCTTAGTACATTCTCGAAGTTTCATATATCATGTGGAAAAATCAACGGTGCTATTCTATTACAATGAATCATTTCTAATGCTAATATAGCAATTACGTAGGAAAAAATAATATAGTTATTATAATATATAAAACCTCAATGAAAATAAAACCCAACAAGATCAAAAGACATTTTCTACATAAGTATTTCTATCAGTCTAACTTCTCAATATATCGAGCTTTGTTGACATTTCTCGATTGCATGAGAATACATTTCAATCGATTGTGAAACATGATTACCAATGCATTGATCATCGATTTTTGACTGATGTAAGCATAAAAAAATACAACAGATCACTTGAGATAATATTTATTTTCCTTGGAGTGTTAAATGTAACTCTATGCGATCTTCCCCCTTGTCCTCCAAAAAAAAAGAATATATCATGATTGTTTGTTTTTTTGACGCGTATGCACTAGACTTTTCTTTCTTGTCCATTCTACAATTGAAGCTACTCAGTATTTTTATTTCCATATTAAATCAAATAACTTTCTAGAATAGCGTAGGTATTTTTGAAAAATATCCCTTGATAATTCGACTATTCATCCATCATATACAAGGGTTTGTTCTCAAAACAAAACATATATATATTTAGAATAAGCAAGCAATAGATGCATGCAGCCATTTGATTCTGTCGTAGAAGGATATCATTCTATAGCGATGACTTTTTTTTTCACGTAGAAAAAAGAAAAAAACGGGTTGCTGATATTAGATCGAGTTAGACGATAGAAGAAAAAAAAGAAGAAGAAAACAACAGAAGTTGTATCCTCTCCATCTGGTAATACATAGTAGAAGAAAAAGAATAAGAAGGGCGTAGGCCTACTACTAGCAGAACAGTACAGTATTGCTATTCCTTGTATATGCTTTTTTTGTCTTATTTCTCTTTTCTCTCCATCTATTTACTTCACAATTCGTCCTATAACGATACAAACAATCGCTTGGAAACACGTACAATGTGATGTTTTTCTAAATGATTAACTCTTGATAGATTGTTTATTATTCCATTCACCACTAAATACAAACAATATTCTATTATAAAAATTCAATTTTCTATCTTCAGAATTAAAATTTATTTATATAAATCAAACAATGGTTTTACGTGTCTTTTTTATTTCAACAACGGGTCGTCGTGATATACGTAAACGACAAATTCATGTATTTGCTGTACTTAGTTCTTGGAATTTTGAATATGAAGCAATTGATGTAGCAGCACCAGAACATGAAACTGAACGTGATTTTATTATTGAAAGTGGTAAAAAAACTGAAGAAGGTAAAATATTATTACCACAAATTTTTAAAGAAGAGGAATGCTGTGGAGATTATTTGGATTTTTTACAAGCTATTGAACATGAAAAATTACAATTATTTCTTAAACAAATTACCCAAGAAGAATTCGATGCACTTGAACGAAGTAAAAATGGTGAAAAAGAAGCAACAGAAGAAGATACTGAGGAAAACGAAGGTGAAGAAGAAGAAGAAGAAACTGAGGAGGAAGAAAGTGAAGAAGAAGAAGAAGAAGAAACTGAGGAGGAAGAAAGTGAAGAAGAAGAAGAAGAAGAAGAAGGCGAAGAAGAAGAAGAAGAAACTGAAGACGGTGAAAAAGAAGAAAAAACAGCTGATGATGAAGAAAATAAAGAAGAAGATGAAACTACTAAAAGTAAATAATTGAACGTATTGTATTTTGCATAATTTATTGATCAATACATATATTTATATATGTG